TCCCCCACTTGTAAAATACTAGAGTTATTGAGCAGTGAAGGAGGGCTGGCTTTAAACTCACATGTCATCTTCTTTTTTATGATCTAAGACCAATTAACCAGTTAACTCAGCAGCTGAAGTATAACAATGTTAAGTGATCAGGAGTTTGCTTGCTTGATTATGAACATAAGAAGTGGTACAATGCTTGCTTGATTATGAACATAAGAAGTGGTACAGTAGATCAGACCGAGAATCACCCAATCTCCCATTCTTTGCAAGAAAACCAGAAAATAACAAGCACAAGAACTGCCTAGTGTCCACCACAGGATTACATTTATCTTCTGCCAATCCCTCTTTAGAGCATCCTCTACAGAGCATTTTTAATTTTTTCGAATCTTAGAAGAAGAAGAGGAAGAGATTAGATTTATACCCCGCCCTTCACTCGGAGTCTCAGAGCATCTTACAAACTCCTTCCCTGTGAAGTAGGTGGGGCTGAGTGAGCTCTGACAGAAACTGCTCTTTCAAGGACAGCTGTGACAGAACTATGGCTTGCCCAAGGTCATCCAGCAGCTGCAAGTGGAGGAGTGGGGAATCAAACCCGGTTCTCTCAGATTAAAGTCCACACACTTAACCACAACACCAAACTGTATGTTGCATACATATGCGACATACAGGCACTGATGCTAAAGAGTACTCAAGAATCATATTTCCCCCCCCCCCCATACAGACTTTTGAGAAATTCAGAAATACATTTCTCTTTTTTGGCATAATCCCCATAGACTACCTTGAAAAGCTGTGCACTCTGGGAATGCCGCTACACAAATGTATGACTGAACTCTAACTCAGTGTGTGTGGGGGGGGGGGGGGGGGGGGAGGGGAGAATGTAACTGGCATCATTAAGGTTGTCAAAATTAGCAAGAAAAAAATTGTTGCTTCACTGACCACAGGAAAATAAATGCAAAGTTTCAAATTCAACGTTTCAAGAGAAAGGTTTCAAGTCAATGAAACTGATGGGTTTAGACTAGAATAATGCTGCACAGGATGGCATTGCAATTACTAGAATACTCAAAACATGCATGGAATGGGACAAACCAACTCCTTTTTACTTAGACTGTAAAATCAGATCTGTATTTCGGTTGACTGGAATTCACCCTCCAGTTCTTATATCACATTGACAGGAATCACATATCAATTTAGTGCCCTTGTTAATTTGGTATGAATGGATCAAATGGCCAGCCAGCCATTTCTGATCTCTTTTAGTCTCCAGAGACACTTTTGAAATAGAAGGGGAAGTGAAGTGTCTACATTAACACTACGTCGGCCTCCGAAGCCCAGGTTTTTAAACAGAGAAACGTCTGAAATGCCCCCCCCCCAATTTCTGCCACTGTCTCTGAAAGTAAGAAATGAATTTTCCTCACAAACACACATGCGAATGTTGTAATCCTTAGAAATACGCCCCTTTCGGGGGGGGGTGGACGACTACGATTCAGCCCACTCAAGGTAAGGAGGGAGGAGGGAAGGTCAAGGAGGCATCGGCGCCTTCTATCCGCGGAGCTGCTAAAGCAGCAGAACGCACCTCCCTCGCGCTCGTCTCTTACCTCTCCAGCGCTCCCCCTCCCCGGCCGGGCACGCGCGCCGCGTTCTAACGCCAGGGGAGCGCGCGGCCTCCATTAGGCCGCCCTAAGGCCTAGGCTTTTATATGGCGACGGGGTGAAGCCAGCTACGACCCTAAGGAAGAACGGAAAGATGGGCGGGACTCACTCGGGAGGGAAGAGGCGCAGTTCCTCGATCTTGCCCAGAAAGCCAAAGAGGGTCCGCATCTGCTCGGAGCTGGCGCTCGGGGAGACATTGGTGACCTGGATCACATCGGTGCCACTGCTTGAAGCCATCACGCTACCTCCTCCTCCAGCACTACAAACACATCGAGGGGTGAGGGGGCAAGTGGCCTAGAGAACCGAATGCGAGCTTCTTTCTTGTGTCCCTCAGCTCTTCCCGTCGAAGCACCGCGAGCAAGAAACAGAACGTCTCTCTCTCGCGCGCGCACTAACCGCCGTCTTCGCCACCAGCCTGGGCCACAATATCCCACAATCCTTCGCAGTCCCTACTCGCGTCTATTCCTACGCAAAAGTCTCTCAGTCCTGCGCCTGCTCAGACGGTTACCCCATCCCCCTTCGTTGGGGAACGACACGCAGAACTATGTATACTGCGCATACTCATTTCGGCTCTTTGGCACACCCTGCTGCGCATGTGCAGATGGTCTTGACGAAGCGGTGTCGTTCGAAAAGGTTTTCTGCGGCGTCCTAGAATTCCGAGTGGTTGCTATCGTCAGGCGAGCAAAGGCATACTAGAGCTACAAACGTAATAGTTACGCCTGCCTTGGAACTGAATATGGGACAGGATTCTTAACAGAAAAGGGTAAAAGTCGGATCTACATGGATCCTCATGAATTCATATGATTTTTACTTTGAAACGCAATAAAACCACCATCTTATTGTACTCCATGTGTTAGTCTATAGGGGGCACCACAAAAATCACGCTCCCACAGATTCGTGGCACCAGAACAGCGCAAAAACATTATTCCAAAGGACGGATCCTCATGAATTCATATGATTTCTGCACTGGAATGAAAGAAAACCAACATCATAGTGTAGACCATGTCTTCGACTATAGGAAGCACTACAAAAATCATGCCCCCTCGAATTCTGGCACCACAAAACTGCAAAAACAAGACCTGGGGGAGCCAGAATGACCTCTCGCTTGATAGCCCAGCGGCAACGCCCCTCCCCCCTCCCCCCGGCTCAGAGGGGGGGGAACATTTCACTCCCCTCTCTCCCCCCCCCCATTGCCTCTTCCTCTGCCATTAGCGCTGCTGCTGCGCTGGCAGCCATAACTTTTTAAAGAGCCCCTAACAAGACCTGGGGGCCAGAATGACCTCTCTCGTGTGATGGCCAGCAGCTGCTCGGCCATCACAAGCGAAAGGTGGAATTTACCCCTAGGACTCCAAGGCCACCACCCCGGGGCTCAGAGAGGTGGGGAACATTTCGCGCCCCTCCCCTGCCCTGAAGCTTGGGGCATCCGGAGTTTCTTTGCATGCAGCTTGTGCGGCTGCCTGGGTGCCTCTTCTGCTTGCCCACCTCTGCCTCTGCACCTCATCTTCTGCCAGGCATGGAGGAGCCCAGCTCGCCCAGGCTTCTTGCCTCCTGCTGCCTTGGCCCTCTGGTGCACGGGTGAGTCCCCAAAGTTTGACTCTTCCTCTACAAGTCTCTGGCGCTGGAGGTATTCGCCTCCTTCCCTCCTGCCTGCTATGGCTGCATAATTGTGAGAGAGATTTCTTAACATAGTGTTCCTGCCAGGGAAGCTGGGGACCCTGCCCATGAGTCTCCATTTCATCCTCACAACAACCCTGTGGGGTAGGTTAGGTAGAGAAGCGGAGATTTGGCCCGGGTCACTCAGCCAGCAGAGTGAGACTACAAACCTGGGTTTCCCCACATCAATCTGCAACTCTGACCACTGTGCAGTGCTGCCTCTACTGATCTGTAATGTTCCAAAGGTGTTGTAATGTAATACTCAGGCCCCTGCTACACGGGGGAAATTGAGGTGGGCAAAGTGCGTCTTTTGAAAGCTGCACCAAAAGACACACGCGGCGGCGGGATCACACAGATCTCGTGATCTCCCGGGCACGCTCAGATGCCGGGGAGAAAGCCATGGAAGGGAGCGCGAGGCCACCGGCTGCACATGTGTGCGCATGCGCAGTTTGGCTGGGAGCCTTGATTGCTCTGGAAGACGGGCGCTCCGGTGATCTGATGGCCGCGCTTGATGCGGCGTTTCCGATAAGTCCTGCTTTGTAGGTGTTTTTTTTTTTACAGAGGATTTTCAGCCTGAAGGGCCGTATCGGGGACGGGTGCGCGCCGCATCCCAGATGTTGCGGTGAGATCGCGCCCGTTTGCTGTGCCCCCGTCCCTCTCCCAGGCCAAAACCTTCCGTGTGACCGGGGCCACAGTTTCTCAAACAAGTGTATGCCTATCTGTTGGTCCACTTAGGAGTCTTGATCCTGGTTGTGTTTGTGGGCTAGTTGTGGCAAATGGTAGGGAAGCTCAGTATTTCTGTATACAGTTGTAGGGGCTTTATTGCAATGTGGTATGGCCTGATATTATATTCTTATTCCAGTGTGGGGTGTGGGGGGGGGCAATGGAAGCTGAGTGATAGGGTCTCTCCAAGTGATTGCCAGAAGTGAGATGCGTCCTGGTCTTGTGTCTTACAGATAATCTTACAAATAGTCCTTTGCATTTATATCATGCTTTCAACTTTAAAAGGATCATAATGCTGATTGTGTGAATTTAGGCAAATCACAATAGGTAGAGCAGGAAGGGTTGCATCAGTGCTTAGTTCTTGTGGCCCTTTCTTACACACCCAGGGAAATGCTGATCGCCACTTTGGGGCCAGGAAGCAATTTTTCTCCAGGCCAGTTTGGCACCCAGTGATCCTGGAGGGCTTTTTTTTTAAATCATATTCTGGGCGTGGAAGAGGGGTCACTGGGGTGTGTGTGGGGTATTGGTGATTTTCCTGCATTGTGCATGGGGTTGGACTAGATGACCCTAGAGGTCCCTTCCCACTCTATGAGTCTATGATTCTACAATTCACCCAGGCTGGCTTTGGGCACGCCAGCACCTCTGTCAGGCAAAAGCGCCTGAGATCCTCCCCCTCCCCTTTTCCTTTGCGAAGGGGGGAAAGAATGGATCTCAGGTGCTTCTGCCTGTCAGAGGAGCTGGTGCACATTTCCGGAGATGTCAGGGGGTGTGGCGTATGCTAATAAGTTATGCTAATGAGCTCCTGCAGCTCTTTTTCTACCAAATGACCCCTGCTCCATAGCATTCCTCTCATTTCAACACATTCTAAACGAACTCTGGCGCAACTTGCCAGGTTTTCTATTAGGCTCGCCTAAGGGCCCGCCCACTCGCCCTCCGCTTCCGTTGGCGGCTCTGAGCTGCCTACTCCGCCTACTCTCTTAAGCAAAGCCGAGCTGCAGCAGGGAAGCTCTTGGCGGCAGCAGAAACGGCTGCGTTAGACGATAGGATGTCTGGCGCGCCGAGACGCGGAGCGGGAGATTCTCTGGTCGGTTTCAGGCGGGGTGCGGGCGATGGTGAGGCGAGCTCGGCGAAGGTGCCTCAGGGGCTGATTCGAGCGGCCCCGAAGAGCGGCAAGCTAAACCTCTCTGGCCGGGAGCTGACCGAAGGTGAGAGGCGTCTCCTTCCCGTGCCCAAAGGGAGGAGGAGCGGAAACTGCTTTTGTTTCGTCGCCCCGTCTCCGAGGGAGAAATGCAGATAGGCGTGGGCTGGGCGCCTTGCCGCCGCCGCCTTTTCCCTCCTTCCTTCAGGAGGCTGGGTTGTGCCAGGCTTTTTTGGGGGGGGGAGGTTTCACCCGAGAGTGGTTCCATTTCTTTCTGGTAACTAGAGATTTAAACTCATTTGTTTTCTGCGTGAAAAACCACGACCGTGTTTCTAGCTGCAGCGACCCCTTTCACACTCACGAAGCAGAGGGTAGAGAAAAGAAAAATCCCCTAATGCCAGTGGGCTGTGGTGGGGGCTGGGTTCCTCCTCTATTCTCTTGGGAAAGGAACAGGGTGGCTATTGCAGACTGCATTTACAGTGGTAAACAGTAGCTGTGTGACTCTCTTGAAAGAAAACAAAAGCCTGCTGGCACCGGAAAGATTAATGACATTTATTTCAATATAAGATTTTGTGAGTCTTGCAGATATAATACTGTAACTGCTATTCATTGGTATTGTTAGGGATGCCTGCTTCCTGGGAATAGTCCAGCTTTCTCGCTTGGGCTCAAGGTGGATTACACAGAGAACCGGGTTTGATTCCCCACTTCTCCACTTGCACCTGCTGGATGACCTTGGGCAAGCCATAGTTCTGGCACAGCTGTTCTTGAAAAAGAGCAGTTTCTGTCAGAGCTCTCTCAGCCCCACCTACCTCACATAGTGTCTGTTGTGGGGAGGGGAAGGGAAACGAGTTTGTAAGATGCTCTAAGACTCCCTTGGGTAGTGAAGGGCCCGGTATAAATCCAATCTCTTCTCTTCTTTTTCCAAACAATGCAATAGCCTTAGGGCTGTAGAAGCAACCAGAAATTTAAAAAAAGAACTGAAGCAAAACCTAAGTATTAACATGACACATTAATTTATGCAAAATTACATAGTAGGATCCTACTTACAAGCAAGCTGTACATAGTAGTAGTTCCTAATAATTTATCCAAGTAATTTTGTACAGTGCAGCCCTATTGCCTGCATAGAAAAGCCATCTTGAATAATTAAGTTTTGCATAGTATGCTGAAAGTCAGAAGAGTGTAAACTGCCCTGACCTCCTTGGGCAGGTCATTCTGTAGGCAGGGGCCACAATGGAGAAGATACGATTATGGGCAGTTGTTGATTTTGCCTATTTTCAGGTTGGCACTTGCTGAAGGCCCTGCTGAGATGAGCAAAGATGTGCTTAGTCCTGTTAAATACAGAGAATTTTGTGTAAGAATGTGTAGAATTGTGCCAAACCTTTTACGAACTCAGAACAACATATCAAATGGAGCACATTTAGGAAAACTGATTCAATGTTTTCCTCCTTTTCAAGTTTATGTACCACTGGAATCTGTTGTTTTGAGGCTAAGGTAGTGAAAACGGTTGGTAGAATGACAATAGCTGCAAAAGCAGGAGTATGATTGTTGAATACAGCTTTATAGTTACCTGTCATTTCTTGTTTGTGTGCAGTACCTTTACATGTATGGCGGATAAATTTGGATACTCCGGAAGATGCCTACCAGAATCTCTCTTTTGGTGCTGCTGATCGGTGGTGGGAGCAAACTGATCTTACCAAGCTAAACCTATCTTCAAATAAACTGACATGTCTTTCTAATGATATCAGACTCCTGCCTGCTCTCACTATGCTTGATGTGAGTACAGTCACAGCCCTAATGGATGTTGGTGTCATAGTGTCAGGCACTGATAAACAGTGGAGGGAAAAGACTCCTTCATTAGATGTATGTTGAGTGTTGAGGTGCAGAGACTTTGCAGTAAAGAGATGCCTTGGTGAATCAGCCAGCTGGCATCATGGTAGAGTGAGAAGTGAAAACTGACATGATGGTGAGCCAGTTGGGTGTACTAAGAGCCAGTGTGATGGCAGGGGCTAGAGTGCTGAACAGACTGGGGGAGACCAAGGTGTGAAGCTCTGCTATGCCATGATTTGTCCAGTCATCACCTTAGTGTAGCAAATCTTGTAGGCTTATTGAGAAAATGTGTGTGTGAAGGAGGGATAATGTTGACAGTAAAAACTATTTATGCTGTGTAAAGATTAAAGCTTCTGGAAATTCTAAAAGTCAGGGTCTGGGGGAAAACCCCTTTTTTGTGTTTTGTTTTCAGGGGATGGAAATGGAAATTTTGGGAAAACTTGAAATTCTGAAACAAGATCAAAGGCAGGCTAGAAATGGTTAAATAAATATATAAATGCAATTCTTGAGGTTGAAGATATGATATTGTCCTATCAAATCTAATTTTACTGCTTTAACAACATAAAATGCATCATTTATAACTTATTTAGCACATAGAATTGCAATATTTGTTGTATATATATATAGTTACAAATGCCTTAGTTTTCTACAAGCAAAATTGCAAATATACCTAGTACTTGAGAGAAAACTGCAAGCGGATGCACCCTGTTTATTATGACCTTAATTTTTGCTATCTGGTTAGAGAGTTTAGTTCTCAGTGAGACTTTCAGAGTGTTCTTCTGAGACTTTGATGCAGTTTCTGCCTCTGATCTTCTTTCCTCTCCAGAATAGTAGGGTGATAAGCCACTGTTACCCATCTGTGGGTAAAAGAGTCATAGTGGCTTGAGATAGAGGTGAAAAAGTCAACCACATCAGGTCAAAAAAACAACAGAAAGACAACAGAAAGCATGCAACTGTTGAGAAGCAACGAAAGCTCTGCGTGCTCCCCTAATGAAGATTAGGGGCACTTATGAAAAATTATGTATGTCAGGGAGACTTAAGTATTTTCTCCCCATGTGCCATAGTCTCAGTCTTAACTGAACCTTCAGCACCTCTGGGAATTCTGAGTGTGAAACTCATTTGTTGGATGTACCCAAGGATGGACCCTAGAAAAGTATAATATGTAGTTAGACCCTACAGTAGCTTAACCATAATATCATTCCCTAAGTCTTCTGGCACTTCAGAGTGTTGCTGAATCAGTTGATGTCCTCTGGTGGAACAAATGTCCTGACACCTTTAGTTACCTGTCTAAGCCTCCAGAGTAAAGTCTGAAATAGAAGAATTCATCAGTGATAGGATATAAGAAGATCAAATGAGTGAACCTGCTTCTCTTGATTATAAATCCCCAGTGTATTATCACATTTTATAATTCTTGTTTCCAGGTGCATGACAACCAACTGACATGTCTTCCTTCTGCTATAAGATCACTGGAAAATCTTCAGAAACTTAATGTGAGGTAAACATTATTGTACAAACTTCTTACAGACAAGATTCATGAAGTAGATGGGAAACTGTTTAATGTACAGGTCTTCATCTGTAATGAAAGAGTAACTTCTCAAGTCAAAGTGTTATTTGTTTTAAACAGCTGTATGAGTCTGGGGTCAGCCTCCCGGTCGTTTCACCTCGAGAGCTAGTTAATTCAGACCTCCAGACGAGTAGCTAGATCCTCTCCTCCCGAGTAGGTCTCCGGTCCCTGGGTTCCCCTCCCGGGATGAAAGGAAGCTCTCACAGACTGCACCGTCCCACACACTTGTCTTCTCCAAAAGTCAACATATCTTTATTTACGAGGAGCAAAGATTAAAAAACATATACGTATCTCCCTGCACCGCAGCAGGCACCAGCTCCACAGAAAAACACAGGGAGAAGTAATAATATTCAAAAAGGATTAAAACACAGAGGCAATGTGCTGAGTGGCTGAAGCAGTAGTCCCCAAACTGCTAAAACTAAGACTGTCCCAAGCAGAATACTGGCAAGTTGATGTTACCATCAACAGGAGGTTGGCAAGGCTACAAACAGGAGAAAAGGAGAAGGAAGAATCCTTTATCAGTTAGCCGCCTCAGCGGAGGAAAAACTTGCTGTTTTCTCCTGAAAAGTATTGTCTCTGTTCCACCACTGACCTAGTCAGTTACGGTGTGTAGATTAGCTGCAGCTGCTGCTTGAACAATTGCCAAGTTTTCTTATATCCTCCCTAAGGGACCCAGATGGTATTTTGCTTCAGCAACTTAAGGGGGACGCACCACAATACCAAATAATATTTCTATACAACAGCACTGGTCTTTTTAAAAGGTTAAGATAAAATTGTTTGCTCTTTTTCTAACAGAGGAGTGGTACAGTGTGAAAACACATTGATATATTTAATGACAAACATGCACATTTTCTCATAGCTATTTTTATGACATTTTGCAGATAATTTTCTTTTTTCTATAACTTTGGCATGTTAAAACTTGATTTTCAAGAACAGATTCCTAAACATGTACCGAAAAGCACTGTACATTGTAAATGAAGAGGTTTCTTAATCATTTATAACCATACTATTAGAATGAGTGTCCGGTTCAGTTCGTTACTTTAAAACATAGCTTTTTAAATTGAAGATTATAAATAAATAACTGTCTGTTGCACATAAGAATTTCTGGATGAGAAAAGATTTTGTAAATCAATTAGTTTATGCAAGGATATCAATATGTCGCAAAGTACTGAAGGGTTTAATTCCTAATAAGTAAGACTCATTGATGACAGTGAAACTTACGTTTGAAAGAGCATTGGGCAATAGCATGGGTGTGTGCAACCAGGCAGACTAGAAAAAAATTCTGTGAGCTAATAATGTTTGTGGACTAGCTTGCAAGGCAGCCTTGGAACAAATATGTACTGCTGAATTCTTACTTTATCAATAGTCATAATAAACTGAAAGATATACCAGAAGAGCTGACCCAGCTAAAGCATTTGAGGAGTCTGTTTCTGGAGCACAATGAATTGAGTCACTTGCCAGATGAATTTGGACAGCTTGTGAATTTGGAAGAGTTAGTAAGTAGAGAGCTTTTGCTATGCCTTTTTCTTCTGATGATAGTTACTACTAGTATTAGTTATTAGCTTATAAGTGCCATAGCATTTTAAGGAAACTTGTTTTACAGCTGATGCAAGATGCTATATACAGTAGAGGAAATCTAAATCTAACAGCATGCCCAAGCTGCAAAACAATGTTTTACTCAGCTTGTTCTCTTACATGCTGCTTCAGGCTTCATTATTAGGAATAATTGGGTATTATTTTACTTGGGTACCTCCTCACCTCTTAATTTCAGATAACTTATGAGATGGTTAACCATTTATGGTCCTAATAAAAATCTTTGTGAAGCCTGCTGCTTTCTGCTTGCTATCCACTGTTAAAAGTCAATTTACTCCTGCCTTCTGGTTCTTGTTCTTTGTGCAGATTCCAGTCTATAAGAGGACCTATACACCTATCCCATTAGTGTTACACTTAGGGATTTGTAATGAGGGATATTTTCAAAAGCTTTTTGGAAATACAGATATAATCCACTGAATGTGCTTGTTGATTCCAAAATTATTCTTAAAAAATGAGGAAAGACTCCCCTTTGTAGAATGGATTCTTCATTAGTAAGGCTTGTTCTTATGTAAGTTTGTTTAATAATTATAGCTTTTGCATAGGATTGAAGTGTAAAGTGAAGTGTGTTCGTTAAAAAATCCTATCTATGTACACACTGAGGAAATCTGAACTGGAAGTTACTGTCCAAGAAGAAATATTGGGTCATGGTGGGTAACAAATATATTTAGGTAACATTTCTTTGTAGCTCCTGTAGTTCCACACTCTTTTTTCACAGAACACAGCTGCAAAACTGTAATTTAAAGGGGAAAATTTGGGCTGGAGTGATTATGACGGTTTATTTTTTCTCCTCAAACTACTTTCAATATGAAAATCCCCTCCCCCAAAGTTTTTGCCCTCCTAGGGGAAAACCTTTCGGTATTTATTCTGTTCTCCTCTTTTTAATTGCACCCCCTGGGGTTTGCATTCTTTTTTTTAATAGATTACTTGGGGAAAATAATCATGGAACTACAAGTAATGCATAGGTCTGTTTCTAGCCAAATAGTAGAGTTCATTATTCACCAGTTCTTATTCCTGATGGTTAAGTAGTGTGTAGCGTAAGGTACAGATCTTTAACTTTTATTTTTTTATGGGATACTGTGGAGTTCAAACTAACAAAGAATAACAGTGATATCTTTTCCATGATAGGGCAGTTTTTTCAAACTTTAATATGTAGCAACATATTTCTAGCTACATGAATCTAATGTGTATATATTCTAAAGATCCTGGATTAACTGTAGATCCCCACCGTGTATACATTTAGTAACAGTAATGCAGTTGCTCCATATAATAAGTGACGTAAGAGGGAAACCTAATCAATTAACAGCAAAGTTTATGAACTGCTTAATTTGTTGTAGTTTTTTTAAAGAGCATTTCTCTTTACTGGTATTACTAGTTCAAGTACATGTGTGCTGCTTGTTAGCAATCTCAAGTTTTCATTTAGAAATTGTTCTAATTTATCTTATTGAGCAATTTTCTTTCCTCTCCTTTTTTAGGATGTTTCCAATAATCATATTGCTAGCATTCCTGTGAGTTTTGCTTCTCTTGCAAGCTTGGTGCGTCTCAATTTGACTTGTAATAAGCTGAGAAGTCTGCCAAAAGAGATCAGTGCAATGAAAAGTAAGGGGGTTCTTAAGTGTGCCTTGAAGATCATTGGTATTTTTGTTGTTTTGTGTTTTTTTATTATGGTAAAATTTAAAATTATACAACTTTAATAGAAAAATGCATAGGGATCAACTGTTATCTTTTTATTCCAATATATTACAAACATTATCCATGTCTCAGTATGTTTGATAGCTTGCACTCCAGAATACCTTTTTGTAAAATGTCTTTTTTAGATATAGTACGATAGTCCAGATCCTTTTGAACCAGTCAACATGGTAAGTACAGTTGTTTCCCCCCAAAAAGTTGCTATTAGGGGTGTGTGCGCTTAGCATGACTCCAGAGAGAAGGGAAGGGGGTTTAAACTTTGGCTTACTCCGGGAGGGGAGGTAAGGGGGTTTAAAGTTTAAACCCCTTCCCTTCACTCTGGAGGCATGCCACAGCTGCGGCCCAACCCTGGGCGGGGGTTTAAACTAAACCCTTTCACTTGCTGAGTCAGCTCCGCATGACTCGGTGAGTGAAGTTCTCCATTATACCCTATTGGGACAGTCCCCATAGGGTATAATGGAGCCAAATATATTTTAGTTTCCTGAATACTAACCTAAATACCAGTACTGGTATTTGGGGATATTTAAGAATACCAAATATTTTCGGGCCCCAAACACCTGAATCTGAATAGATCCCCCCCCCCAATTTTCTTGCACACCCCTAGTTGCTGTATGCATCTTTCCAGCTGGGAACAAATTCTCCCTCTGATGTGGAGGACATCCTGTGTGGGTGATTCCCATCCATCTTCAAGGGAGGCAGGAACTTACTAAGAACTTCCTGTTTCCTGTGGTGGGAGTCACCCCTACTCCAGTTCGTTTCCTGCCTCAAGAGGGAGAGCAGCTAGTTTAGGCTTTGCCTGCACTGATCTTGCCTTTGTCCTTTCTAACCTTTGTTCTTCCCTTCTTTTCCCCTTTAGGTATCTCAACCTCCTTTAGGCATTTCATCCTCCTTTGATCTTAAATCCTAGGTTCTTCCTTTCCAAAAAACAAAAACAAAAAAACAACCCCCCCCTCTCTCCTTCTCCCATTTCGAAGCCTGAGCTCCGCTCCAGGTTTTTCCTCCTGCCGCATCTCTCCTCCTCCTATTTCGAAGCCTGAGCTCCGCTACAGGTTTTCTCTTCTGCCGCTGAGCCGCGGAAGCCGAGCAAACACTCCGTGAGCCATGGAAAGGGCCGCGGAAGACGACGGCTTCCTTATCCTCCCGGGAGCAAAGACGAAGACCGCGAAAGGCAAGCGCGCGGCCGCGAATGCCTACGGAGAGCCGCCGATGACCCGAAGCGCGAAGAGAGACGCGAGAGGAGCCTCGGCCTCGGGGGTCGCGGCGGCCATTTTGAAGGCGCCTTTGTCTGGCGCGATCGGCTCGGGGGGCGCTTCGACTGGCCGATCCCCACCGAAATCGCCCGCTAAGGCACATGGGCGACTCTTGGGCTCTGCTGCGGCACACGAGCACATCCCCGGCCCGGCTACGGCCCATGGGCACCTAAAGGGCTCCGCCACGGCAACCAGCCACCGGGATGCCGGGACCTCGACGCATGGTGGAAGCGGAGAGGAGGAGGAGGAGGAGGAGGATGACGGCGCCGAGGACGTGGACGGGACCGAAGGAACCAGGACTGGTGATGTACCCCCCCGCGGCCCCCCCTCCCTAACCCCAGAGGCCATGGAATTTTTGCGCCAAACCATAAGGGCAGAGATGGGTCGGGAAAAAGGGGGCAAAAAGAGACCTAGGCTTCCTTCCCCAGACCCCAACTGGCCAACACGCCCCGCCCCCCGGCCGCCTAAGGCACCGAGGAATAGCCACAGGCCACATGTGGTCCTCCAGGACCGGGAAGAGGGGGAATACAGTCCACAGGACTCCAGTGTAGAAGGGGAGGAGGAGGACGAAGATGAAGAGGAATTTTCCTCAGGGGAGGAGGGGGAGAAGGCCCCGAGACCGCCTCCACAAGATCAGTCACACCGCTTCTTCCAGGCGGAGGACTTCCCATATCTCCTATCCAAAACCTTATCCGCCTTGCATATTCAAAATGCCAGAAGCGCACCACTGGACACTAAGGACGGGGTAGACGAGGGGGAGGGGGATGAGGTAACAGCCGAATTTTTTCCACCTGTGGATTACTCCGAGCTAGCCTTCCCCTTTCCGGCCTTTTACGTAAGAAAAATCAAATCTGAATGGGAGAGACCCATGTCCTATAGATCATACCCCGCATCACTTAAGAAGCTATACCCCACCACCTCCGCAGCGTCTAAGATGCTCAAGCTGCCAACGGTTGACGCACCAGTGGCAGCCCTCCACTCATCTAACCTGGTGTCGGAGGAAGGTCAGGGAAACCCCCGCAATGGCATGGATAAGAAAGCTGAGCTAATTCTTAAGAAGGCCCACGAGGCAACCGCAATGGCCATTAAATCCTCGGCGGCGGCATCCACAGTCTCAAGGGCGGCTATAGTCTGGATGCGCAAACTGATCCAGTTATTACCAGAGAATGACGCCAGACTGATGGAGGGGGCTTCTAGGGTACTAAAAGCCATTTCCTATACAGCAGACGCCACCCTGGACTCAATGGTTTTCTCATCGCAAGCCATGGCAGCCGCAGCAGCGGCGCGCCGCCTAACATGGCTCAGATCATGGCCAGCCGATTACCAATCAAAGGCAATAGTTATCGCTTACCCCTTCCACGGAAATAAGCTGTTTGGTGAGCCCCTGGAAAAGATACTAGTCGAAACCAGGGATAAGAAAAAGGCGCTGCCAAAATCGGTCAGAGCCGGGGACAAGCCCCAAACCGCCTTTACATTCCGCACCCAACACGCGCTTCCAAGGTTCCAGCAGGACAACAGAAGGCAGTCCTGGGGAGGAGGGAACTATAGGGGCGGCTCCACGGCCAAGCAGCCCTTTCGGAAAGGCTCCAACTTCAGCAGGTTCCCTAGACAAACCTTCACACGAACTGACAAGGGGGATAAAAATCCAAAGAACCCCAGAGCGTGACGGTCCTCATCCTCCAGTGGGGGGACGCCTCTCATCCTTCAGAGAGGCGTGGGTCGACTCACACCCAGACCCATGGACCCTAGAGGTGGTAACAGAGGGTTACAAATTGGAGTTCAAAACGATACCCCCCCAGAGGTTTATCCAATCCCCCCTACCCACAAACAACGCAAAGCAAAAACGAACATGGTCGGCGGTAAAACATTTATTAGACATCAACGCGATAGAAACAGTTCCGCCACAACACAAGGGGCAGGGGGTATATTCGATATTTTTCACGGTTCCCAAGAGGTCAGGGGACTGGAGAGCAATTTTAGACCTCAAGTTCGTAAACAAGTTTATGGTCACAAAGCACTTCCGCATGGAAACGGTCAGATCTGTTGCGGAAGCGCTCCGGCCACGGGAATTTTTAATCTCCCTGGATCTGACGGAAGCTTATTTACATGTCCTGATCTTTCCCCAGCACAGGAGGTTCTTGCGCTTCTGCCTCGGAGACCTCCACTTCCAGTTTCGGGCTCTGCCCTTCGGCCTGGCGTCCGCGCCCCGGGTGTTCACGAAGATACTGTTGCATCCCATCGTCCTACTCCGCAAGGAGGGCGTACACATTCACCCGTATCTGGACGACCTCCTACTAAGGTCAAAAACCGAAGGTCAGTCGATCAGAGACACACAGATAACGATGAGCTGCCTCCAACGGTTCGGCTTCCTGGTCAACACGAGCAAAAGCTCACTAGTACCCTCGCAGACGCTGATACATCTGGGAGTCAAGATACGTACAGCAACGACATCCCTGCACCTGCCGAGGGAAAAGAGAAAGAAGTTGGCAACACTGGCGAACCAGGTTGTCAAAGCGAGATCTTCGTCCCTGGCACTCCTGACCAAGTTGCTGGGAACGATGGTAGCCTCATTCGATACCCTACAGTGGGGCCGTTTCCACTCGAGACACCTACAACTGTTCTTACGACCCTTCCAGACCGCCATATGAGTTGGTTGGTATGGCTCTGTCTTATACGGCATGAAGAACTAGGATTAAGACATTTGCAGGTCTGTTTTTGCTTATTGCTCCGCTTTAGGAAACAGCTATCTGAACTTGTCAAATGGAATTCTGCAGCCTATGTAAAATCTGTTAATTAAGCAGGTCTTGCAAACCGAGGCCCCTGGCTTCCTTGATTGAGTCAATTCATCTCATGTTGGGTCTTCCTGGTTTCCTTTCTTTCCTCCCGGGTGCCTTCAACTTTTCTTAGCACTATTGTCTTTTCCATGGATTCTTGTCTTCTTGTAATATGAGATAAAAATAAGGCCAAGGTCAGTGGCGCAAAATAAGTAAAAATATATTACCAAATTCCCAGAATTCCCCACACATTTCGCGAACAGACTTCCTTCAGGGGAATCTGTTAGTCTTGCAGTGTTTCTTCAAAGAAGTACGGTCGGGTTAGAACGGATAAAAGGAAGTACTTCTTCACCCAAAGAGTGATTAACACATGGAATTCACTGCCACAGGAAGTGGTGGCGGCTACAAGCATGGACGGCTTCAAAAGGGAATTAGATAAGCATATGGAGCAGAGGTCCATCAGTGGCTATTAGCCACAAGGTATAGATAGGGGCAAGGAGCAGAGAGATTGACCCACTGCGGCCCCACATAAGCAACGTTCTACAGTTTCTGCAGGACGGGTTGGGAAGAGGGCTCAAACCAGCAACCCTCAAGAGGCAAGTAGCGGCGCTCTCGACTGTCCTGCCACACTACAAGGGTATGCCGGCATCGCGGCATCCTCACATTAGTAGGTTCCTGAAAGGGGCCTGCGCAAAGTTTCCTCCTGTTCAGCACAGGTTTCCCACGTGGAAGCTGAACACCGTTCTCACCGCTCTAACTAAGTCTCCATTCGAGCCACTAAAGGAGATATCCATGAAATTCCTGAGGATGAAGGTTCTGTTCTTAATAGCAATAACGTCCGCCAGAAGGGTCTCGGAGCTAGGGGCTCTCTCTGTGCGCTCGGACTTGTGCATTTTTCATAGGGACAAGGTGGTGCTCAGAACAGACCCTACCTTCAGTACCAAGGTAAACTCCACCTTTCACAACTCACAGGAGATATATCTACCCTCGTTCTGTCCAAGCCCAGTCCACGCCAAGGAGAAGATCTGGCACAAATTAGACGTCCGCAGGGCACTGAAGCGGTACGTCCACCGAACGGCATCGTTCCGCAGAACGGAGGCTCTCTTCATCAACGTCTCGGCCCCCAACAGGGGACAAAAGATGTCAAACTCGGCCCTGAGCGCGACCCTGAAGGCCTGCATCGCAGAAGCATATAAAAACAGTGGTCAGCAAGTCCCCTCAGGCATCACAGCCCACTCGCTCCGCAGTGCGGCCACCAACGCAGCTCTACGAAATAGAGCGTCAGTCGAAGAAATCTGTAAGGCGGCAACCTGGTCGTCTTTGTCTACATTCATCAGGCACTATAAAATCAACGTATATGACTCAGCAGACGCGGCCTTCGGCAGAAGGGTCCTGCAGTCAGTACTCTCGCATGCGGACGACCACCCACCCCGAAATTAGGGACACTGCTCGGGAAGGTCCCACACAGGATGTCCTCCACATCAGAGGGAGAATGACCATTGGTACTCACCGTGAGTGGTCCTTCTCCTCTGAGTGTTGGAGGACATCCCGGCCCTCCCAGGTCGTCAGCATGTGCAAGTATCGGAGCATCTGTTGCTTACGCTATGTCTCTTACTATTACCCTATGTATATAATTCCAATGTTGAAGGATAAGCTAAGAAATTTCCTGTAAATAGTTCTGTGTTATAACAGGTTGTCACAGGCTGTACTCTAGTCTGTCACTGCTTTCGGAGTACCCGAACTGGAGTAGGGGTGACTCCCACCACAGGAAACAGGAAGTTCTTAGTAAGTTCCTGCCTCCCTTGAAGATGGATGGGAATCACCCACACAGGATGTCCTCCAACACTCAGAGGAGAAGGACCACTCACGGTGAGTACCAATGGTCATTCACTAGAAACTCTTAAAGTTAGTGCTCCAAGTAGTACTTTCAAAGAGCATCACAAAGTTATCCCATTGTTTCATTTTACAACTTGAGTATTTTTTCCAATATGCTGTTGAAGAGCATATACAAAATACATGCATAATATTTATGTGCCCTGAGCAACACCACTAATCAATTATTTTTTTCTAAGTAGTAATAGGAGTTTTTTTAAAATTCACTTGAAAAAAGTATAGTGCCTTAGTAATGGGCAATGTTCTAAATCAAACCAGCCATCTAAGAGAGCCAGTATGTGCCTATAAGCCACTTTGGTGTATAGGTGAAGACTGATGGACTCTAATCTGGAGAACTGGGTTTGATTCCCCACTCCTCCACATGAAGCCTGTTCGGTGACCTTGAGCCAGTCACAGTTCTCTCAGAACTCTCTCAGCCCCACCTACCTCACAAGATGCCTGTTATAGGGAAAGGAAGGGAAGGAGCCCACTTGCAGGGGGGGCAGGGTATAAATATCATAAATAAGGAGATTGTCAGCCACTTTCAGACTCCTTAAGGCAGAGAAAAGTGGGGTATAAAACACTCCTTTTCCTCTTCTTTTGCTTGTGATCATTTAGGAGAAGAGCCACACATGTACTCAGGCTCTCAATTGCAGACGGTATGAAATGTAAACTTCACAGCAGGAAAATATGATTTCCTTGGGAAACTGAGATGGCAGCAGGGGGAAAGTCACCTTTAACAATTAACTGGTCTTTGGTCCTTCTGAATAGGCAAAGGAATGTTCAGAACTTCCTTATCAATACGGTCCCACTACCGGGTACACTTCTTATCTAGAATTTGGCTATTTTCTGCCCCCTGGGTCAATAAATTTGCTTTCCCCCCCCCCTTATATGTCCTAAGCACAAGAAATCATGCCCTTATAAAAACTCATAAAATTAGACTACTCTGGAAAATTCTCTCAATTATTCCAAAGTTCACTGTCTACTACTTTTGTTTGTATTTTAATGTGGAACTATGTCATAAGAAATGCAAGATACCATGAAGCTCTCACTCTCTTTCCATAGTATGTAGTAAAATTTACCCTGCTCTAATAGTCTTGCATATTTACTTGCTCCTGGTTGTTGTTTAATGTTAAAGGTATGCTACCATGTTCGAGGTATGCTATGTTATGGTGTGGTGTTCTTTGTTTTTAGCAAATACACCATATTGACTTACTCTTGATGTTTATGTTTGATTTATTCCTGTAGGTTTAAGACAACTTGATTGCACTAAAAACTACTTAGAAACTATACCACCTGAACTGGCCAGTATGGCTTCATTAGAACAACTTTATCTAAGGAGAAATAAATTGCATTACCTCCCCAGCCTTCCTTCCTGTAAATTGTTAAAAGTAAGGTTTGTTTGCTGTGAGTAAATTTGATGCCATATTGGAGGGTTTTTTACCCTTAGCCTGTTGTAGTTCACTAAATTTTGTTCAGGATTAAAGACTTACTCCACTCAGATATTAAAATTGAGGAAACTAGATAAGACATATTGTATATAGGTTATCTTACTATGTATAGTTGATTATCAATATAGTGCTGAGGAGAGGGTCAGAGTGATACAGACACATGTTATGGTTTTTGTGTTCAAGGGTTTATCCAAAACACAATTTATTTATTTTTTAAAGAGAGCCAAAATGGTGCAGTGGTTAGAATGTCAGCTCTGGGACACACAGGATCAAATCTCTGGTCTGCCATGGAAGCTTGCTGGGTGACCTTGAGCCAATCATACATTCAAACTAACCTACCTCACAGGGTTGTTAGAATAAATGCAGGTGCAGGAATGTTGTAGATCACTTTGGGTCCCCCATGGGAGACAATTAATAAATAGATTAAATAAAAAACAAAAAATTTAATTTAATTGCAATTTTGTTGATCACTGAACGAAAGACATTTGTTGATCACTGAATTAAAGACATAAAACTCTATGGGACTATAGCCTATTGAAGTTCCTCCCCTCTCCAAACCCCACCTTTCTCAGGCTCCACCCTCAAAATCTCCGGCTATTTCCCAACTCAGAATTGGCAACCCTACCCTGACTCCACTCTGCCCCTGTACCTTTCTTACAGTATGCCTACATATCAAAAGCATTTTCTCTTCCATTATGAATTTAGCTCTTCTTTTAAGATCTTTCTTAGAGGCATTTCTCCATGTGCTCTGACAAGGGATAGACTGGTTGATCACTGAATTTGTCCATCACTGAATTAAAGACATAAAACATTTGCTGCATATAGGAAATGTGGTAAAGTTAACTGAGAACCCTTTATCTCAGCATACTCTGCACCACCTTTGATATTTTATAGTATTAAAATTAATGAGTGTTTGCTTTTTATTCCTCTAGGAGTTGCATGTTGGTGAAAATCAGATTGAAGTATTAACTGCTGAACACCTGAAGCATCTGAATTCCTTATGTGTATTGGAACTTAGAGATAATAAGCTAAAATCATTGCCCGATGAAATTACTTTGCTGCAGGGCTTAGAGCGGCTAGACCTGTCCAACAATGATATTAGCAGGTAGATTAATATAACTTCTGGTAAGGAGGCATATTTGGTTGTCTTTTTTGCTTTTGAGTAACAAATCCAGGTTTAGTCTCTTGGTGAACAATTAAAACCAGACTTTCCCCCTTAAAAAAAAACCCTGAATAGTATTCATGAAATATTACTTGGTTTGAATATTGTTAAATCTTCTTTCTTGTTCCAGGATGATTTCTGAAATGAACTTTATTTTTGCAGGCTTCCTTATAAGCTGGGGAATTTGCCTCAGCTGAAATTCCTGGCATTGGAAGGAAACCCTTTAAGGACGATCCGGAGGGATGTTCTGCAAGTAACTACATATAATTTACATATTGTCTGAAATAATTTCTACCTTTTGGTATCAATAGATGTGGCAGTTGCCAAGAATTTATGTGCATTTGTTTTTTAAAATTAGAAAGGAACGCAAGAAATTCTGAAGCACCTCAGAAGTAAAATACAAGGTAAATCTCTGACAAATAGAAGGGTCCACTTAAGTGAACCCTTGCAATAGCTTTATGGACTTAGATTGCGTATCAGCCGTTTCTCTTGCTGTGACTAGAAATAGCATTTATCCACTTCCGTTTGCTTATACACCTTCTCCTGTTGTCCACACTGTTTAAGGTGGTTTATTTAATGCATTTCAAATGAAAGTAGATGTCTTGGGTTGATTCTAAATATACATGTCTTGGGTTGATTCTAAATATACACATGTCAAGATTAGTAAAATACACTGTTGAATATTTGTAAGGATTGGTGTTCAGATAGTGGTTTAACAACTTGCCAGTCTGACTTTGGTCAGATATGTGAATATTGCAGTCATAAAATTATTTGATTACAATCACAACTAGGGATGTCACAAATTTTACAGTGAATGTTCGGCAGGCAAACATACTGGGACTGACAGTTGTACTGACTCATGAACCAAGCGTTAGATCTCATTGTCTTGCCACCATCTTACTTGTGGAGGTGAAAATCTGTGCAGTAACTGGGGTGGAGGAACTTCATCTCTCTATGCCTTGTGGCCATTTTTTAAGCCAAAACATACCATGCCTGAAGACAGCCATGCAAAGCAGTCGTAAAAAAAAAAAATGTAATTCACAAGACGTGCCAGAGCTTCCCAAAGTCAGAGTTTGCATGGGAGGATTTATCCAAGATTGGAACATTGATGCTTTCATGTTTCTTTTGTCTATGTATGCTGCATACAGAAGGCAGCCCTTTATTTTTACAGTAGCAAGCATATTTGCAGTGAACAAGTTGGGGTGGGGTGGATGATGAACTAGTCCCACATGGCTATGTGAGAACACATGTGCATGTACTACAGATTGTCAACTATTGCTACTTAACAAATCCAGATGTTAAGTGGTAACACAACCTAGGGGAAGGACTGTGTCAGGGTAGAGCAGCTGCTTGGCATATCAAAGGTCCTAGGTTCAATCCCTGGCATCTCCTATTAAAAAAGATTACACAGTAGGTGGTGTGAAAAATCCCTCCCTGCAACCCTGGAGAGCAGCTGCCAATATCAGTATTTTATTATTTTTGTTATTATACATATAACAACAATTTATTTCACAATCAACTTATTTTAAAAATACAAATATTAAAACAGAACATAGCAATTATTATGATTTTAATTAACAAAGTTATTTCACCATCCTGGACAATATCTCAGTGGCTGCATTTAAAATACTTCCACTTTTTCTGTGGTGTGTGCATTCTTTCCAACAAGAAGTAGGGTAGCTAAGTGTTCTGCTGAGTAGCCTAGTGCTTTAGTCAGAAGTGGAGTGATTATATCATCCTTAGCTTGCTTATAACGATTACAATACAGTACCACATGGGAGACAGTCTCTAATGCCCCTGCACCAGAAGGACATAATTGGTTGTTTAAAGGGATATGATTATAATGATCCTCATGTGTTGCTGATGGCAAAACATTACAGTGTGCTAAAGTAAAAGCTCTCCTGTATTTTGGGATATTTAGAGTTGTTAAATAGCTTCCACATTTCTAGAGTATCGGGAAATTTAGGTCCAGGTATAAAAGTGAGCAAGGTCTAAATGCCAGAGCATGCATCTTCTGGTAGTTTATATCCTAAAACCTTTGCTTGACACACACACACACACAAAACCTTTATTGGCATGAAAGCACAAAACATGGAAATACGGGAAAATACTAAGATGCATCAGTCACTTACACTTGGCTATTCAAGCCTCGTCTTCTGATTGCATAATATAAAAATTTTGCAACAGCCTCCATGATTTCACAATTAGAATTAAACAGAAGAAAGTGAACAATTGAGTCATCAGAGTGCCAGCTCTTACCCTCTGGAAATGGAGTAATAAAACTAGATCGGATATCCCTATAGAGGGTGCAATGAAGTATGGTGTGTGTAGTGGATTCTATATCTTTTAGAGAGCAAGGACAAAGTCTGTCTACATATGGTATCTGGCGGTATCTCCCTAAAAGTACCTCTGATGGCAGAACATTAAAGCATGCCCCTTTGCTTGACTAATTTCTAGGCTTTCTGCAGATTGTACAACAGTATGGCTAGGAGAGAACATCCTGCATTGTTTGCAGGATACTTTACTATAACTTTTTTCCCATTTTCATAAATTGATCTATCCATACTAAAGAAACAAAACTAGAGGATGGATCTCTGTGGTAAATAGTCATTGAGAAGTTTATGGCTGTAATCTTAGTTATATCTGATAGCAAATCCACCTTGAGGCTTACAACAGCAGTTATTACACATTATTAGGAAGTCCCAGAATACTTCTGAGTAGAGACCACTGGAATTGATTGCTCAGATTGTGTAAGCCAGCTTCATGGTTCATTTAATTCTGTTTGTTCTTTAAACAATTGGCAGTGTACCCCAATGGTGAGGGGGAAAGAGGTTCACATTGATGCCCCATGATAACATATGATAAGCAGCTGAACTGCCCATCAAAAATTTGACTTCGTGCTTGTGACAGTCGAGCAGAATGTGAGCCAGGCCATTGGGTGCTCAAGCATCCCTAGTTGCAACTAGTTCTCGGTGTCTATCAGGGTTTTGGATTATGTATTTCATAAACAGTTTCACTTGCCCCCTCTCCCAGCACTGCATGGGATACTACAGCAAAGCTTAAAAGTAGTTTCTGTAGTATGAGTCTTCCAAGAAAAAAAAAGAGTCACAAGTTCATTAGGGTAGCTAAGGCTTTAGGAATGCCTAAAGCAAGGTGTCTGGATTGTAGCTCCTTGTAGTTTTAGCAGAAGGATCCTGCCTGATTAAGAGTTGGGCCTATAACCCCTAAAAGATATATGAAATGCACTTTGTACTCCTTACCTCAGTTACTAACAGGTGTGCTTCAAATGTCCTAAACAATTAGAGGCACGGGTAGTTTGAAGTTAACAGCCTATGCTTGTGAAGCTGTTAGCATAGCTCCATCTTTTTGTTTTGTTCTTGCAGTTTTAAAATAAAAGGTATTGTTGGAAACTGTAGCAGTGTGTTTTGGTCTGATGTAATTTTTGAACTTAGGTGACTTCTCACCCTTTTTATCTCTCATACTAAGATGTACCAAATTATTTCTTTGTTCTCTATCTGAACTCCTCTGTTTCTTGCCTAGGTTTACCCAGGCTACCTGTGTCCCTTTCTACTTTTTGCCATTAAATTATGCTGAAGCAGTAGCCAACTGGGGCTGAATAAGAAGCAGAAAGGGTGAATAGGAGGAAACTTGGTGGAATCTTTGGGGGTTTGAGATGGAGAACAAGTGAGCACCCTATTTTGGCAATGAAAATTTACTGGAGTGCTATGTTCACCTAGTCTGGTTTGGGATTTTTGAGATCCTGTGCCTTCTCTGGTCTCAGTGGACTGTTTCTGAATAAAGAGGCATAAGATGGGACTCCAAATGTGATGTCTTGAGTTAAATTATTTAAAGTGAAGGTTATTACCCACGGTCTGCTTGTAGGATGACATATAATAAATATGGAACCATTTAGCCACACTTTATTGTATTTTAAGACTTGCAAGTCCTATGTGTAAAATATCAAACATGTATAATTCTGATTTCCTTAGATGATGATGAAATTAGTTCAAATGGAGAATTGTCTGTGACAGCAATGACTTTGCCAAGTCAGTCAAAGATCAACCTGCATGCTATCACTGCATTAAAAACATTAGATTATAGGTAAGTACATTGTAAGCTTATGAACCTGTAAGATTATAAATGAATATTATGAAACAGTTTTTGTTTTTCTGTTCTTGACACAGATCAAATAGTGCTGGCATAAGGCCATCAGTCCCTTACCACTGATTGGGATCGCAAGGCACTTTTTGCAGCTTGTCACTTCTTCTATCATAGATTACCCTGTTTCCTTTAAACTTGTTGCTTGTTGTTTAAATGTTGAGTGTTTTCCAGTATGCATACTTGAGAAGTTTGTCAAACTTCCAGGTTTTTTGATACTGCAGTGAAGTATCAGTTTGGTATTTTAATCAAAAGTTCAGAAATAGATTTATTTTGGATGTGAAAATAACAGTCCTTCAATGAATAGCTTTCTTAGGCACTGGTTGCAGCTCTAATACCAATTAATTGTTGTACAGTACTCTGGCTGAGATCAGCTGTTCTGTTTTGTAGCCACAGTTGCTAAGGCTAGAAAATGAACAGTCTTCCTTTTCAAACTATGTTTCTGGATATTGTGATGGGGTCTCAGCCTTAATCTGTTTCATATCTCTCCTTATATATAATTGAGTAGTGGGTGCCAAAGTTCTAAAATGCACCCCTTTAGTGTATGGACGCTTGAACTGTCAGTCAGAAGACGCTGGCTGGGTTGACTGGCTGCTTTGTGCAGTCCCGCCCAGTGTTTCAAGGTCTTTTGCATATGGAAGCTGATTGGACTTCACTGCATTCCACACCTCAAACTCCCCCCCCTCCCCGCAAGGCAGTTGGAATGTCAGTTGCATATGGAACCTTCAAGGTCTTTTGCATATGGAAGCTGATTGGACTTCACTGCATTCCACACCTCAAACTCCCCCCCCTCCCCGCAAGGCAGTTGGAATGTCAGTTGCATATGGAACCTTCAAGGTCTTTTGCATATGGAAGCTGATTGGACTTCACTGCATTCCACACCTCAAACTCCCCCCCCTCCCCGCAAGGCAGTTGGAATGTCAGTTGCATATGGAACCTTCAAGGTCTTTTGCATATGGAAGCTGATTGGACTTCACTGCATTCCACACCTCAAACTCCCCCCCCTCCCCGCAAGGCAGTTGGAATGTCAGTTGCATATGGAACCTTCAAGGTCTTTTGCATATGGAAGCTGATTGGACTTCACTGCATTCCACACCTCAAACTCCCCCCCCTCCCCGCAAGGCAGTTGGAATGTCAGTTGCATATGGAACCTTCAAGGTCTTTTGCATATGGAAGCTGATTGGACTTCACTGCATTCCACACCTCAAACTCCCCCCCCTCCCCGCAAGGCAGTTGGAATGTCAGTTGCATATGGAACCTTCAAGGTCTTTTGCATATGGAAGCTGATTGGACTTCACTGCATTCCACACCTCAAACTCCCCCCCCTCCCCGCAAGGCAGTTGGAATGTCAGTTGCATATGGAACCTTCAAGGTCTTTTGCATATGGAAGCTGATTGGACTTCACTGCATTCCACACCTCAAACTCCCCCCCCTCCCCGCAAGGCAGTTGGAATGTCAGTTGCATATGGAACCTTCAAGGTCTTTTGCATATGGAAGCTGATTGGACTTCACTGCATTCCACACCTCAAACTCCCCCCCCTCCCCGCAAGGCAGTTGGAATGTCTGGTGGTGTGTAGGTCCCAGGATCATGTTTTAAAAGCGGCCTGGGGAGATGGGGACCTCAGACAGGTTACAGTGCCATAGACTCCACCCTCCAAACCAGCCACTGTGTCCTGGGTAACAATTGCTGCCAATCTCCAGGTGAGGGCTGGAGAGCACTCAGAATTACAACTGCTCTTCAGGTAGCAGAGATCAGTTCCTCTGGAGAAAACAGTGGCCTCTGTCATTATACCCTGCTGAGGTCACCACAGCAAATTGACACTGTTTGCCCAAAGCCAGAGCACTCCCCCAGAGCCTCTTTCTAGATCCCGTTGTATTGCTTTCACAACGGGCTTTACTGCTAGTTTGTGTATAATTGGGAAGCCACACCAGTGACACACCTAGCCTATTTGGCGCCCAGGGCAGACAATTTTTTAAATCTCCCCCCCCCCCCCAGTTATTTTATTTTTATTTTTTTGCCATCAAGTCACAGCTGACTTCTGGTGACCCTGTAGGGTTTTCAAGGCAAGAGATGTTTGGAACTGGTTTGCCTGCTTCCACGTTGGCCCTCCTTAACTTCTGAGATACGACGAGAGCAGGCTAGGTTGGGGCTATCCAGTTCTGAGCCCCTCCTGTATATGACATTATTTTCATTAATAATCATGAAATAAAATGAATAATAATAGTGGCAGAAAGTAGATTCAGGTGGGTAGTTGTGTTGGTCTGAAGTAGCAGAACAGAGTTTGGTCTTAAAGGTGCCGCTGGATCCATACTTTGTATTCAGTGGCCATAAAAGAAAAGCAGACAGTGAAAAATGTCTTGTGCTTAACATCATATATATAATCATGTCAGTTTTTAAAAACTGCAAATTCCAACACGCTATTTCATCATAAGAGCCAGTATGGAGTAGTGATTATAATGTTGGACTAGAATCTGGGAGATCCAGGCTCGAATCCCCACTCATGCCATGAAAGCTTGCTGGGTGACCTTGGGCCAGTCACATTACTCTCAGCCCTGATCTGGATAGCCCCAGAACAGTCTGATCTCATCATATCTCAGAAGCTAAGCAGGGCCGACAGGGAGGCAGGCGATGGCAAACCACCTCTGAATGTCCCTTGCCTTGAAAACCCTACAGGGTCACCATAAGTCACCTGTGACTTGACAGGAAAAAAATTCCATCACACCACTCGTGTTCTGTGCAGGCAGTTGGGAGGGCTTCCGTTCTCCATTTCGAAGCCCAAGAGCTGACCATCTCAAACATCTACAAGGCATTTTTGAGAGCTAGGAGTCTGCCTTTGTATTAACTTTTACTAGCTTACACTAGCTAAAGCATCACAAGGGTGCCCCCATCCTCCATTGTTTCTAAACGACTAAAGTCAAACCAGAGCATCTCTGCATAGAACCTGAAGGGGGCATTTTTGCACCCCAGCAGAACCAGTGCGATGTACAAGGTACCCAGCATGATATTAACAAAGGTTTGCTACCATACTGCTCTTAAATACATTCTGTCACCAAGTAGGATAGGGATGAGAAGAAGTGAAAATAAAGGGGGGGACATAAAATGGGATGAAGGGAGACAGAAATGAGTGAGAAATGTGTGGGAAAGAGGGAGAGAAATTAAAAGAGGGAAAGCTTGTTTTATCTTGCTGCAACACCCTGACTACTGCTTTGCAAGATCTGGCTGAGCTTGGGAGCAAGGAAAGGGAGAGACAAAGGCTAAACTATTGGAGAAAATGATTTACAGGCTGGCAGTTACTGTAGCAGCTGTCAGCACCATCTGTTAAGGACATTTGCTTGAGTCTTGGAGAAAAGGGAAGCTTAGCCTATCCTAGAGCTTTTTGCTATGCTCAGATTTCCCTGCACCCCTAGTGGCCACAGTCAAACTGCATTTTAAAAACAAAAGGGAAGAGATTTGGCTGGAGGCAGCATGATGACACAGGCTTTGAGGGCACCTTCAAAAGCCTTCCTTAAGCTGCACTCAGGGTGGACCACCCCATCGCCCCCCTGGTATGCCAGTGAGCCACACTTCAGCGGGATTCATGAAAGCCTAACAGCTTTCCCGTTAAGCTCTATATGTTCATTTTAGTTACCTACAAAATGGTTATCCTGTGTTTCATCCAAAAATTTCAATGCAATTTAACAAGTAAAATATTAGTTGCTCTGCAACATTCAATTAAAGCATCATATACATCAGTATTAAAGATTTAAAAAAAAAAAACCCTGGGGCACAGAACAGCTCAAGGACAAGGTCAACAGAAAGCCAGAACATTTCAGAGCAGGAAATCAGTGAACAGCCAGTATAAGAAAATTCAGTTGCATAAGTGAAAATAGGCAGCACCATATTATTGATAATTGCTGTGTTGGTTATTAGTCCCAAAGGTTCTGTAGCCAAAACACTGGTTATTGTGAGTTCTTTTGAGAAATGGGGTGTACAGTGAGTAATAAATATATACAGAAGCACCCTTCACAGTTGTTCTAGTACACTGGAATAAATCTGCACTTGGATTACTGGCAGCTGTTCACCACTGTCATTTTCCTTTCTGTAAAGCATTTCTTTAGTCCTATAAAAATATTTGTCTGACATTCCCTTCCCATATTGGTTATTCTAGCATCCCACTTACCCTGCAATATACCTTTTCTTTTCTTTTTTTATTCCTTACTGATTTGGTTCAATACTGATCCTATTTGGCTCAAGAGCCCACAGGTTGCAGACCCCTGATTTTGGGCTTTACAGGCCGAAGCTAGCACCTTGAATTGTGTCTGAAAGCATACTGGTAGAAAAGTCAGTTGTTATGCTTACCTATGCTAAAATAAACCTGTCTAGTAAATGGTACTTACGAGTATTCTAAACTGGATTGTAAAAAATATATTCTTCAGTGAGAAACAGGCAACTGTAATACCAGAAGACGTATTTAACACAGTAGGGAACAATCCAGTAACGACTGTGAACTTCAGCAGTCATCTGACTGAAATTCCAGAAAGGTACTAAATGCATGTTATACTAATTTTCGTACAGTTAAATGGTTTATGCATGAGTCTCATGAGGAAATCTATCATTTCAGTTGCATTAATATTTACTGATTTTGACAGACTTTGTAAGTAGTTATGTATGTGTGCTAGAAAGATAATAATGGATTTGTTTTAAAATGTTTTCCAAGTATTTTTGGTAACAAAGGAGATTCCCCTCTCCAGTACTATATGGTGTGATGTTACAAAAACACATCCAAATATACCCATGTGAGCAGTGCCAAGTTCTTGCAGAACAGAAGAGAAATGAGCATAGGTTTTATTTGCTATGCTCTCTTTTTGTCAAAGTGCTCAAAGGTAGCTTCCCGTCCAGGCAGCTTGCAAGGCTAAACATGCTTAATCAGTAGAACTGTGTTCTGTCCTTAGGCTATTCTTTGATGGTCTTTCAGCATTAAGCTGTCTGTCAAGTTTGCTTGCAATATTTAGCAACAAAAGTTGCTCTGTAGAAAACATGGCTGAATAAGTCAGTCTAGTAGGTGCACTATATTAAAAACTCACTGAAGTGAGGTATGGGTTAACACATAAATCCACCTGTTTTGTGTTTCATTTTTTGTTCTCTGAGTTTGGGATTAGTTAACAGCAACTGCCCAATTTTGTGAATCCTCTTCAAAATACTTGTTTGCTGACTTCTTGTGGATGAGATTAAATTTTAGCACAAGCGTGGTACTCAGCTATAGCTAAATAACATAATGTATGGCTACAACATAGTGCAGGTAGTCTGATTTAAACAAAGGCCTTTTGAGATGGTTGCAAACATCTCCAACCTTAAGATCTAAGTTACTCATTATTTTGTAATTGTCTGCAGAATTGTGGAGCTAAAAAATTCTGTCTGTGACATCAATTTTGGTTTCAATAAGCTCTCTTCTGTTTCCCTGGAGCTGTGTATGCTTCACAGGTTGACACATTTGGATTTCAGGTAAGTGATTATGTGGCCATTGTTTCTAAAGTATCTATTAAATCTTAAGAACTCCTTAAAGAGTTCCCCCTGTAATAATAGATGACTTGAAAAAGAAGGAAGGGGAGGTATGCTGGGGGAAGGAGAACTGAGAAGCTATCTTTATCTGGGGGGTGGGGTGGACTATTGATAGCGGAACTCCCCCTAGTGGAGATTGTTCCTGTGGCCCAACTCTGCCTTATGTATGACAGTGGTCCAGTGAGTTCGTTTTACCCGTGTATCCAGAGGGCGGAGTCAGAACGGACTCTCCTATTTCCCAAGAAACGAGACAACACAGCTGATGTTTAAAGAATAAATGTTGTCTTTACTAAATATTGCTGATTTCTCAAGCACACAAAAACAGATGCGTTCACACATACACTCAAGTTCCTTTAGTTACAGTAGATACATAGAAAGCAATCAGTAAGAAAAATAATAAAACTCTTGACCAACAAGGAGGTAATACACAGAAGGGTACGGTTGATACTTCCCAGCTGAGAAGTAAATCTCCTCAGCAGAAAGGACGGGAACAAAAGTACTATCTTTAGGGACTCTAGTACACACTGAATGGTCCAGCCAAACCTGTGTGGGTTCTCTTGGTAGCGACCCAAGAGAACACTTAAGAATCACCTGCAGTAGACAAGTTGCAAAGGTGAAAATAGAAAATTGGATAGCTAACAGAGAAACAAAGGCTGTGTTTCTCCTTATAATACCTAGCTTTTGGGGGTTGGCACAAAGCCAACCTCCACCTACAATCTGCCCCCTTCTCTACACCTATAGGCCGATGGGTAGTGACACATCTACCTAGAGGGGAGTGGGGCAATAGTCAAATCTGAGCCTAAACTTCAATGGGAGCCATGTGGTCAGGTGTCAAAGTTGTATTGCCATAGTAACCTTTGACTTGCAGATGCTGGCCTGGTCCACAAGGTAATAAACAGGATGTTATCTTTGTGATTCAAACCAGATAAGGGTTACATGTTATCCAGAAGATCTTTAATGGTGGGCGAGTTGTTGTTTCCCAGAGTCAATGTGGCTGAGCATAATGGAGAATGTCTTCTTTGTCCCAAGGCAGGATGGGAAGGTATGGGTATGTGTGTGTCCATTAGCATACTTACGCAGCAGAACAGGCCCTGCACATTGCTTGAGCAAACTGCAAAGCACACAGCATTTCCCAAATCCCATACACACAAATGCAGAGACATTACAGACATACACACATCAGCATAGCACAAATAAAATACATTTTAAGCACACTTGCCAACACTATTGGATAGAGGGCTGAGCCCAGGAACTAGGGGAGGGAAGAAGAAAGAACGGGGTGGGGGTAACAAGACTGGGAGGAGAGCGATTTGAGGAATGGAAGAGTGTATGGTTCAGGAGAAGGATTAGGGGCTTCATGTGGGCCAAGGAGAGGGGTGGGACGGTTAGGATTTGGAACAGGGAATTAAGAGGAAGAAGTGGAGCTTACTGGAAAGGAGTCTGGGAGAGGGAGCTAAGAATTGTGGTTCAGAAGGAAAGTGGTCAAAATATTTGTAGCCACTTGATTTTTTAAAAAGGTTTTTAGGAACATGCTGTTAACTGGCTTTTAAGGGATTTGCTGTTTAGATTTTACTTCCTTGTTACTGTGTTCTTCTTATTTTTATATTGTAGGCATTTATGGATTTATTCAATTGCTATTTTGTGGTGTTACATAGATAAATAAAACAGTTGGAATAAAAACAGTTGGATAAAGAAGTTCAAGGGAATTTCTCTGGGTAAAGCTTGAGGGGGATGTCTTTGGATAAGAGGTTATTATTTCTTATTAAAAGACTTCACACCTCCATATCCTGTCAAGTCAAGCGTTCTTCGTCTGGGAGACTTTCCCCCAAGATCTGTATTAGGAAGTGGGTAAAGCAGGGGTGCGTTTTAGCCCCCCATCTGTTTAACCTTTTTTTAAATGACCTTGCCTATTTTTTTCATTAGTTGATGGCCACAACCCTAGACTTGGCTCTTCTCTTATTCCCTTGTTATATGAAGATGACACGGTTCTTTTGTCTACTTCTTGTGTTGGATTAAACAGTTTACTGAACCGTTGCCATGAATATTGTGCGATTAACAGATTGGAGTTGAATTATGAAAAATCAAAGGTATTAGTCGTTCCCTATTCCCGAAAATCTTATAAGTGGATTATTAATGGCAACAAACTTGGAACAGGTTAAGCACTTCCAATATCTGGGCATCTATTTCCAATCTAATGCTACTTGGACCTACCATCGCAGAGTGGCTATTAATGTAGCTAAAGTTAGTAATTTAGTGCAGTAATTTCGTACTTTTATTTTTCTGTTCAAGGTAACCAGTGTGTGCCAGCTGCACTTAAAGCCTTCAGTGCTAAAACTGGAGCTCAATTACTGTATGGGGTACCTCCCTAGATTGACGCAATAGACATTTCAGTTGTTTTTTTCCCCCTCTCAGAAAACTTTATTGAAATTGATAAACCTATACAAGCTTAACCCAGACGTGATAACATTTCAATTGAATGTGTCTACTCTACCTTTCTGCAAAAGATCATGGGGGTACCCATGTGTGTTCCATATGCCGCTTTATGCTTGGAGTGTGGTCAGAATTTGTTAGCTACTATTGTATGGATCCACACTATTAAATTTTGGTTATGACTCAATTTCAACTCTGACCCCTTCAGTTATACGTACCAACTACTTACTGAATCTGTTAATTCCAGCTGGCTATCTTATATCAAAGCCAAAATAAGTTCCCTGAATTTATCTCTAGAATCCTTATTTATGCTTTCTGAATCTGAGGCCTTTTAAAAAATAAAATCTAGTTTATTGGGATCAAAGCTACAAACTCTTTATAGCCTGGCTAACAGAACCTGTTCTCCCTTAAATTTGGGGATTGTTCCTAATGCAAACCTTCCAGCAGTATACCTCTATTAACTCATAGCTCCAAATTTGCATAGAGCCATATCCTTGGCTAGATTTAATGTTCTTCCTTCAGCTATCTTATCTGGTAGATTCCAAGGGATTCCCTATCCTAGCAAGTATTGTTCTTGTATGAAGGACTGTGTTGAAACTGTTGCCCATGTTCTCCTCCGCCTTCTCTATCTGGCGTCCCGTCGGGAACTTCTATATCCCATACTAGCCCAATTTTTAAAGACCCCTGATGATTTTAAGCTCCTTTCCTTGCTTGATAATCCAGATACAGAAATAACTGAAATAGTAGAAAAGTTTCTTTGCAGTGCCATGGTCTCACGACCAATAAGTGATACTATGAATTAAGTTTTATTATGATGCTACTCTTATTATGATTTTACTCTGCAATTTTAATTTTACTACTATGCATGATTTTGAATTTAGATTACTGTATCTTCATGTATATGCCAATAAAAGGTTTTGGATGGAATGTTAGCTGACATAGCTATGAAAATGCTGAACTCTTTTCAGGTTTTAGCTTTAAGCCGTAACAATAAAGTAATTGCCGCTAGGTGGGTGAAAAGTGTCCCCACAAGCATTCTATCATATATATTGAATATGCACACACATTTTATGCAGCTGGAATCTATTGCCAGGTGAAGCTTTCTAGCACCCGTATATGTAGCGGATACATGTGATAAGAACATAAGAGCAGTCCTGCTGGAATAGAGCCTCTAGTCCTGTGTCCTATTTCAAATGGTGACAAACTAGGTGCTTCTGCATGAAGGCTTCAGCCCTGTTGTTTGACCCACCTGCCAACCAATATCAAAAGATGAACATGGAGCCAGCCTTGAATATGTGGAAGAAATTAAGAGATAACTATTTATATATGATATTTATAGGTATAATGGTAACCATTTTAATTCACGTTGTATTCATGGACATGCATTACACATGATGGTGCAGATGTGTTGATGTATAATTTCCTACTCTGCTGTGATAGTAATATAAGACAGTGGTCCAGGTAGAGTGGTCTTAATTCCACCATTTAAACTTTATGTAGTAAAAAAATGGTTTGATCAAATTTCATTATCAATTAATACTTGAGGACTTTGTTTGCTTTATTTTACAATTAGAAACAACATTTTGATGTCCTTGCCTGATGAAGTGGAAACACTGGCAAGACTGCAAATTATAAACCTTGCTTTTAACAGGTAAGTGTCATTTATAAGACTACTAAATAAACTGGTCTTTTGCTTTGTTTGAAGGAGTGTCTGTGAAATAATTTCTGCCTTCCTTTTTTTAGTTCAGGAACTAAAATCACTTTGATACTCCCTATCATATGAAAAATTGATATTTTTCCAGTAGTGGCTCCTAAGTTGTTGGCCTGGCTACCTTTTGGAATCAGTCATATTTGAGGTCTTGACTCTTAAATTTAGAATCCTCTTTTTACACAGCCTTCTTGTTCTTAATATAGATTTGGGGTTCTGTTTTCTTTCTTTTGGCTGTAGATGTTGTTCTGCTTGTCTGTTTTAATGGAAGTAGTTGTATGGTGTTGTGTTATGTGGTAATGTTCCAGATCTTGAGAATCTTGCTTTGAAAGTCAAGCTTTAAAGTTGTTGGAACACATTTTGTGGTATTAAGTGGGGCACTCCTTTTTCATTCTGGCATACTTGGTATGTTTAGGAGCTCACCCATGTGGCCTGCTCATGTAAGCAGTAGTATATCAGGGATGGAAACCTCTGGGATGTTTCAGCTTCTATGATCCAGCTGTGCTATAAAGCTAGAAATCCCTGCTTATAGATGTAGGAATGCCATGTTCCCTTTATAGCTGCTAAAATCCTGGGTTTTTTAAAGGAACTACACCAGATCAGTGAAGCTACTCATCTCTTGTAGGCTTGATAAATAATTATTGTAATGTGTATACGTTATCTGTTTTCTAACAGTCTTAAACAGTCCACTGTTTATATAATTTGTCAGTTACACAGGGAGATCATTTCAGTGGAAGAGTAGAATTATTTGTGTGTCTTTCAGAAGTCTTAAACTATTTTTGTAATATTCATTCCAAGAAGCTTCCTTGTACTGCATCAGACCATCAGTCCATTGAGGTCAGTCCTGCCTACTCAGACGGGCAGCAGCTCTCCAGGATCTCGGGCAGAGTTCTTTCCCATCACCTCCTGCCTGCTCCTTTTTAACGGGAGATGCCAGGGATTGAAGTGGGACCTTTTGCATGCCAAACAGACGCTCTACCACTGAGCTACAGCCCCTCCCTAATTTGCTCTCTTTTCTATTATAAACGTAGTTTGTATGAATATTTATTTATTTATTTATTTACTTAGGCTTTTACCCCGCCCTCCCACCAAAGTGGCTCAGGGCGGCTTACAACAATTTAAAACAACATACAATATAAAACCAGCAAATACAGATATAAAATATAATAAATACAATAAAACTAAATAAGTACGGCAGCGTCCTGTGGTAAAGTGCTAGTGTGACCCAGCCGGTGCAGTCAGTTCTTATTTGAACGCTTGGTGAAACAGCTCAGTTTTCACTGCTGGAGGTCCCGTAGTGCTCTAATTTCATTAGGGAGCTCGTTTCAGTGTTGGCGCCACCAGGGAGAACACCCTGGTCCTGGTTACCATCAACCTGGCCTCCCTAGGCCCAGGGGGGGCCAGGCGGTGTTGTGATCCAGACCACAGTGCTCTTTATTCATTTATTTATGTTTACATTTATATCCCGCCCTACCCCGAAGGCTCAGGGCGGCTAACAAGGGCACTGTGTGCCGGGTTAAAACAATACAGTCTTGGAGGACTGTACGGGGAAAGGCGGTCCCTCAGGTAGGCAGGCCCCTGACCATTTGGGGCTTTAAAGATCAAAACCAGCACCTTGAAGCGAATCCGGAATGCTATTGAAAGCCAGTGCAATGACTTCAGCACAGGTTGGATGTGCTCCCACCTGGGGAGACCCATCAACAACCTGGCTGCTGCATTTTGCACCAGCTGCAGCTTCCGAAGTTGCCCCAAGGGCAGCCTCATGTAGAGAGCATTACAGTAGTCTAGCCTCGAGGTGACCATAGCGTGGATCACTGAAGCCAGATCATTGCGCTTGAGGAAGGGGGGGGGGAAGGGTTCTCTAAATGTTCCAGTATTGATAGTCTGCTCCGAGTAACCTCATAGCTGCTGGAATGCAGTGGCTATACTTGTACAGGATGTTTCCTAGGTAGAATTAGCATACTTCTGTGCAGCACATTTACATATTGGTGTCATTTCTCCAAAGTAAATTGCCATTATGAGGCCTGCAATCCTGCCCAGTTTGTGAGGCAAAGGAGTATTTTTCTATATAGCTTTGCATACTATAATGAAAGCTTGTTATAGATTCCATATCTCTTTTGTCTTAGCATTTTACTTGTAATAACATTAGTGATACACATGTGGGTTTTCATTATAGGTTTAAAGTATTTCCAGATGTTCTCTATCGCATCCCAACTCTTGAAACAATCCTCCTTGCTAATAATCAGGTTGGATCTCTTGACCCTTTTCAAATAAAGAAGATGGACAGTCTTGTTACCCTAGATCTTCAGAATAATGATTTATTGCAAGTACCACCAGAACTTGGAAACTGCATCAATCTCAGGTAACTAACATGGCAATTGTGACAGCATATGCTTGTATATGGAATATTTTAATTTAAAATCCTTCAGGGTTGTTTTTTTTTAATTCCAGAAGATGTTGTACTGAAACAGTACAAATGTTGGTAATTGAAGCAGCTTTTATTTTATGGTTTTTGTACCATAAAGGGCAGTTACTATCCCATATGGTAAGGGAGATCCCATGTTCAAACATTCTCCCAAGGTCAGTCATTGGGTTGGGCCCATTGCGGAGTTTCCACGTATGCAATGATTTCTGTCCCTGGAGTGTGGCTTTTGCAACTCTTTCCTCTCATGGCAGCCAGGAATTCCATCCAGGCTGTAGTGGGAGATGGGAGCTGCAAAAGTCATGCTGCATGAGTGGAAAGCCTTGCATTTGTGGGAATGCTGCACTGGATCCAACTCAATGACTGAACTTGGAAGAATGTTTGAACACTGGATCTTCCTTACCATCTGGAACAGTGAGAGCCCCTTATGGTGTGATTTTCTTCTACTGGTTTGTAAGTGAGATCCTAAGTTTTCCAAGGAAGAGCGAAACATGCTCCCAAATTTGTTTATCTTACTTGTTCTGTGATGATGATAAAACATATACCATGGTATGGTGGAAGCAGTGATATAATTAATATTAATATATATATTAATATATAAAAGTGTTAAAAGGGGCTAAATAACCAGATAACAATACTTATACGGTCTAATGAAGTCATGGAAGGTTAATGGAAATTCAGTGCTGTAGTTCAGTTGTAACTAAAGGATGGCTTACCCCTATTTTTATATCTACTATGCAGCTGCCAGATTTAAGGAAACTTTTTAAGATTGCATTTCTCACTCCACAGCGTTTCTTTGAGTTTTGCTGAAGAAATAGCATTTACAGAGAAGGCTGATTTTTTAAAATTTAAGCCCAAGGGTTTTGTGCATATGATCCTATGAACAGTCATCCTAACTGGTTTCTGGTCCTTCTAACTAGGACACTTTTGCTAGAAGGCAATCCTTTCCGGGCTCCTCGAGCAGCCATTCTTTCCAAGGGGACAGCTGCTGTGCTTGAATACCTAAGAAGCAGAATTCCTACTTGACTTGTTTTAATTTGAACTGACATATATAAAATATCTTACCTTCTGAAGAATGAAGACTGCTGTCCTGTGTCTATGACCTGTTTGTTTGGATTAGTGTGTTCTACAAAGTGCATGTTAAGGGTATTCCTCTAATTCACAGAAGATTGCTGTCTTGAATGCAAGTGGTACATAAACCCTGTCGATTTGTGGAAAATATGAACATGGACAAGCAGTAAAGACATCTGTCCAGCACCTATTGTTTTAAGAAAAAGTGCTTCTGTGGGCTGTGTCTGTGATATGGTTTCTACTTGTATTTCTTTATTCAGTTATAGGGCATGTAACTGGCAGAGGATTGCTTAGTACTTTCTTAAATGTATGAGATGTTTTGTATGAACTGAACTTGTTGCCTGAAATTGGAAATAACTTACACTGTTTTGTTTTTTTTTTTTTGAAGCCCCCCCCCCCCCCCCGGTCTAATTTTAAGAGAATCAAAACAATTTTTCAAAATGAAAAATGCAATGTGGAAGGATTACCTTCCAAAGGACAAGTATGGTAGGAACTTGGTTGATCCATTATTTGGCACATGTGCCTTTTTTTTTTTTTTTTTGCCTTGAAAAATTAAATCCAAAGGCATTCTAGCAGATCACCAGTTTCAGAAATTAGGCCGAACGAATAATTGTGCTGTATGCATTTTGTTATAAAAAGATAAAAATATTTACCTACGACTAATTTTTCAGCATTAATACTGAAATGGAAGGACACCTGTGTCACAATGTTCACCAACACTGGAAAAATGATATGGCTTGTTATAACATTGTCTGCTTTTAAATGGGAAAAAAATTTCACTATGTATTTTGTAGTACGACAAAAACTTTGTTAGCTGTATAGATAGAGAAGGGGGGAATGTCCTCAGGTAATCAGAGATGATGAGTACTCAAGCTTACTGCTCCACCATACCTGCATCCAAAGGAATCCACAGCAGTCATCCCCCATGGCAAGAGCCCCTGTGCTTGGCAGAACTACTTCCTTTCTCACCAAGCTACAGAGCTGCCCTATGCAGCAGGGAGACAGGTGCATGTAAGGGGCACTTTTCACTGGATATATCTTGTGACTACCAACTGTAAATGACAGTGTGTGTGTCCCCCCCGCCCCGCAACACCAAATACATATAAGTGGCAGTTGGAAGACATGAGGGACCTAATTTTTCCTCTCAAACTGCTTAACCTTGCAACACTATCGTAATAGTAAGTACAATGCCATGAGAGAAAGATCCCTTAAACTAAGTGGGATTTAATTCCAAGTGAGTGTGGATAGAAGTGGACTGTTAATTCCTAACACTTTGAACTAGAATCTTTTTTCCTTTTGCTAGGGTGCATACATACTGCAGGCTTTAGTTTTCTCCCCACTAGCCTTATACAGGCACAAGATCTACCCCATGAATTGTAACTGGCCTTCATATAAATGGATTATCTATAAACTTGGCTTCTTTAACAATAGTGCAACTGTCACCTTAAGCACTGCTGAAATCAATAGCCCTTGCTTCTGTAAAGAGGGTTGAGATTCAGCCTTTAGACCATGTTCTGTATTTAAGATCATAGTCCTGATTTGTAACTAATTGAGTATGTCCCTCTTTCCCACACCTGGGGGTGGGGCTGAATAGAGTCAGCCAACAACTGAAGCTTCCTGTGTACTACATTTCTCTGATAGGTAAACTGTTTTAGCAGTCTCCTCCTCAAATGCTGACCTCTGGATAGAATCAAAGGCTTTTATCTGTGGAAGTATTTGTAGAAGGGATGTGAGCTGGGTGGAATAATAAAATGCTTTGGGTGCTTAATCTTTCTGTGTACTAAAAGGTAATGAAGATGACATTCATTTAAATGGCATAAATGCTTCTCAGGCATTGTCTATCCAAAGAGTGTTTAGATAACTTAAAAGGCTCTGATTTTGGTGGGTCAAACTGTGCCTCTTACGTAGATTATTTTTCACTAACAGTCCTTATAATCAAAGCACTTGCGGAAACGACTGCCATGAGAACATGCTGTTGGGCCAGTGCTGGATGGGTCAAGCATTATCATCTCAACACAGATTAATAACTCCAAAACCCTGTGGTATTTTGATGGTTTACCTGTATTCGAGTGACTGTTGCAGGGAAGTTGACATCTGGAAGATTTCTTAGGTTGTGAAGAATGAAATCCAATCAATAGTTTTGATGTACTTTGAGTGCTTCACATAACATGAAATGAGGGAGTAAGTTTTCTGTGCTTTTGGTTTCTGTGAATTAGCAAAACTAAAGTGCTTCCACTGGTGCCTTACAAATAAGACAACAATTTACAATAAGGTGACTTTATTTATACAATAGACTTTTAATATAGTATTCAAAACACTTTTTAAATACTGAAAAAGGTAGAGTACACCAAAGCCGAAAATGGCTCTGCTATACACTGCACAGCATTTGAGTCCCTGTATTCTTTTTCTGTACAGAAAGCATCTGCAAAATGCATTCTAGACAATATGCACCTTACCAGTTAGTGTCAACACACAAAATAAAATGGGAAGATACCACCTGCATGTGCAAATTAAAGATAATTGATTTCACTGAATCCAGAGATTTAAAATATAGTTTAAGTACTTTTTTTGCACATAAAATGAAGCAGGTTTCAGGCTCAGTAAATCCTTATACTGCAAAAACATTTAAATACATTCACAATCTATGTTCATAAAGTAGTAAATGATTTAGCCTTATTTACAATGATACTGTAATTAAACTGAAAAGTACAGTTTGTCATATAGCAATCTTTGTAACACATACAAAAATGACTGTTCTGTATATAATTTAAGCTCAAAGTCACAATTGTCTCAAAATATTAATTACAATACAGCTATCTCTATAATTAAACATGTGTTTTATAAAATGGTAAAATTTGTAATAAAGTAAGTTGTTGATTTGACTTGATTACAGTACTCACAAGTAGAAAAACTAATAAGTATCTTGCCCAATGTTAAGCCACGTAAGCTAGCAAAGAGGCAGGAAAGGCCCCAATTTATAAAAATTCAGCCTCTTGTGCTGAACTGGTGTGGCTTTGTTGACGTTTGGAATAAAAGCTTTTACAAGGGGGCATGAAAATTCTAGATGTAGTGAAATGGTGTGCATTAACATATTTTATTTGTAACAATGCACATCTGAAAGGTTTGCAAGGACTGGTTTTAAGAGTCTGAATTAATTATTTGTTTTTACAGTTACAGAGTTAGAAATTGGGTATATTTTCAAAGATCTGTGTACAGACCAAAATATGTTTTCCCCTAGGTGTCACTGTTGGGCTGCTCAGATATGTCACTGTCATGCATAGCAAATATTAAAATAAATAACTTTCACTGCATTTATGCCCAATCCATATTACTAGCCTAAAAGTTGCTCTGATACTTATTTCATACTTGGAACACAATGCAACACTGAAAAAATGTAGCTGGATGAAAAAAAAATGCAATTCTAAAATATTTTATAGCACTTCCTAACGAAAGATAGTGTTTGAGCTTCATCTAAATTTTACCTGAAGTACATGAAACCTATAAACATGAAGGCTTAGATCCTATACCTTGTTTCCTTTTTTGCTGCTTTATACCTGTTGTGGAAGCAATCCTCCACTGCAGTTGCATGTTCCTCTGGTATATATTGTATGAGCGGAAGTACCTATGGCTGCAATCCTAAGGCCACTTTCCTGAGACCAAGCCCCAATGAATAACATGAGACCGACATCTGAGTAGACCTGCTTAGGACTGTTCCCTATGTCTCTCAAGGAGCCTAAAAGTGCCTAATACAAGAGGAATCCATTCAGCAGCAGAGGACTACCTTCATAATAGGCAAAAAGGTGCACAAGTAGAAAAGTTATATAGGATCCAACTTGAAAAAAAAGTGTTAGCCTATCACTGGGTGATTTGGAAAAGTGTTGGCATTTGTAATGACATTTTCTAACCCTTCACAAGGGAATAGATATAAACTTTTTAAAGAGTTTTTTTCCCTCTGTGTGTGGTTAGCATGATAATTTCTTACAGGGACATATATTGAGGTCAACTCAGTATATTCACAAACTAGCTCTGTACAAGGCTGTTTTTAGTTTGGAAAATTGATGACACAGTCTGAAATAAGTGTGTAATCTAGAACATGTTCCATTGGTTTCAGTGGCAGCATAAGCAACTGAGTTCTGTGTGGGAAGTATCTTCTAGTCCACGTTACATAGGCACTAGATTTACAATGGAAGAATGGTTGGCTTTAAAACTAAGAACTATATTTTATGCAAAACCTAGACAAAAAATGGCAAAACTAGTAATGGCAAAAGTAACCCTAGGCACATTTTTAAGAAGGGTAACTGCTTACAATCATTAAAATGTAGGCAACTATCAGGTTCCTGAACAGAACAAAATATTAGAATGACAGTTCAGAGACTCTGAAATTTAATTTCTTTAGAAGTCACATTTGTGGCATATGTTCTAAAAGCAAATCCTGACTCTGTGCATAGACCTCAACAGATTGACACTGAAACAATGGTGATTTCTACGATCTATGCAGTGACATTCCATGTGTTCCAATCCTACTTAATGTCCTCGAATAGCTTAGTGAGTGAGAACAAAATTAAGGTAACATAGTTTCAAGTCAACACTTGGTTTGATCTGCAGAAGCCAAACAATTGTACTGATGAACAAAGTTTTGAGTCCAGTGGCACCTTTAAGACTGACAAAGTTTTATTCAAGGTATGAGCTTTCATTCTCTAAATCTTCAGAACAATGACCTTATGTATTATGGAAGATCTTTCTGTTGGAATGTTAAGTTTTACAATAATTTTGACTTAGTTTTTAAGTTGTAATGAGATGCACTTTTATGTTAATGTATCTTTGTTACTGGCAAAATAAAAAAATTTAAATGGAAAGGGAAAAAAGGCATGAGCTTTCGTGTGCATGTACACTTCTTCAGATATGTGCACACAAAAGCTCATGCCTTGGATAAAACTTTGTCTTAAAGATGCCACTGGACTCAAATTTTGTTCTACTGCTTCAGACCAACACGGGTACCCACCTGGAGCTATCTTAGTGGTACTGATGGCCATCAACATGGGATCAAATGCTGCGGAGTCAGTTTCTGACAAGAAGGTGTAAGCTGAAGAATGAAAGTTTCAATGGCACTTTGGGATTTCACACTGTGTATGTATTTTAATATAGTCACAAATGAGAATGAACAGTTTATAAATACAGAGTCCCCAGCTGGAAATGAGGACTGGCACATTCTGCAGACTAGACTGAAGAAGGAATCTGGGATTCAAAGATCTCTGTAGCCCCGTAGCACATGATAGCAATGAAATTCAGACTCACTTTAATTGGTTAGTTTGTGAAA